TAGTAGCCTGTAGGCCAAAGGCCCAGAATTGGAGGGAAGGATTTGTCTAAAAAAAAAAATTTATGCACATAGTTTCTTTCATTCCTGTCGAGGTATATTCACAGTCTGGTCCTTACACGCTATATTGATTTATGGCAAGTCTACAGTTCTTCTCGCTGAATATTTTGGCCGCACAATGTCTCTATAGGACTCCAGCTACATGCTGTCAAACTCTTGGTTTCAGATTGATTGAATACAACTAAACCAGCCTTTAATAGGAATTTCGTGCTGTGGGAAAAATCAGACACAGAAAATAGGGAGAATTATAGAGTTGAGTGTAGAATTTTTTTACCTTTAATGCTCCTCAAGTTATCTTGTATGATATTCTCTTGTGTGAATGCAAAGAGCTAAAACATTAAAGACCCCTGGTACACGTTCTATTAATGGCACTGTGATCTGATTGCCATTCTCAACAACTTGTACCTCCTGCCATGTCGCATACATTGCAGGAAGCATGACTTCAGGAATGGAGACAGGTCACAACTGTATCCTGCATTTCCCAGTGCAGGGAGAGCCTGGGGACATAATTATGCCTCCCCCTGTACCGGTAAGATGAAAGCTGGGCATCTACAGCCTGGTGTGAACTATTGCAGTCCCAGGGCTGGGACTAACAATCATTTGCTTAATAGTTTTAGCCACACTGGAGCTGGCAGGAAACTCCAGTGCAGTTTTGGGGCTGGGACCCACAATCAGGTGATTGTGGGTCCAAGCCCTGTGACTGCCCTGGGGCTCATCTCAGACCCCATTTGCCTGGATGTCAGAAAACCTCAGCTGCAGCCCCGCTGCATATGCAGTTTTTTAAGATCCCAGTGGATGAGAACCCTGGGATCAAGGAACCTCTCCACAATGCCAGGATTCCTGCAGCTAGGATGTAGGAGCTGTGGAGCAAGGCAGTCAACTTTCCTGATTGCAGGGAGCCATGGCTGAAAACAGCAGGGTACAGCCTCATGCAGGGCTGCATGCCATGGCTGTCAGCCTGCCAACATGGGGAGCTGTCACCCAAGCCTCACCATGCAACTGACATGAGGATGCCTGGTGAGGACCCTTCCACATGTTCAGTTTAAGGCACAATGAAAATTGACCACAAAAATATTACACAGTTTGTGGAATAATATTGTGGCTGGCTTTCCATTTTGTTTTGCCATTACTTGTCTGAATGTGTGGCTATGTTACTATTTAAGACAGAATTAATAGGTTGATTGAGTCTGAAGTGTAGCGTCTGCCAGGGACCAAAGAGATTGTTAAGAGTCAAGTGGGAAAGGCCACACAGATGCAAACAGGAATCCTTCAGGAAACAACAGGGAAGATTGGGAATACCTGTGACTTAGCTTTCCAGGCTAAGAATGAGTTACTCTTTCCAAGGCTAAGTCTAGAATCAAAGGGGATAAGTTAGTTTTGACAGGCATGCAAGAGAGATGCAGAGAGATTCTGCTGCAAACAGTAGTCAGTTTCTCTGAGCCAGGAATAGGGGTTTTCTCAGTGGAAAGGAGTTTATAATTGTTTGTTAGAAAAGATGAAGGGCCTGGGTTGGGGAAGTAGACCTAGAGGATTATTTGTGGCTTTCCCCCTCTGCTCTGTGTATTATGTTCCTTTTGGACAAAAAAAAATATTTTGTGTATAAAGAAGCCTGTCACAGCCAGTGTCACAGACTCCTGGAAGAAATTAGTTTCATAGAACAAACTCAGCTTGGTCCTGCGCAGGAATAAACTGTCCCAGTGCACAGAAAGACTAGCAAGTATGGCAAAAGACTATCTTGGCTTGGCTTAGCAGGGAACTCTTCAATGAGCTAAAACACAAAAAGGAAGCTTACAAGAAGTAGAAACTTGAACAAGCAACTAGGATAAGAGTATTGCTCCCAGCAGGGATGAAATTAGGAAGGCCAAAGCACTGGCTGGAGCAAGGGTCGTGTGTGGTGCTGTCCCAGAGCTGCTGGGTGGCCACTGTGTGCAGCGCTTACCACTCTGTGCTGTACATGGTGCCCATTCCAGCCACTGCAGTATCCACACTGCACACACCACAGGTCCCAGACAAGCTGGAACAGCTGTTGGAACAGGTATGCTGGGGGTGGGGAAGAGGTCCACAGGCCCAGTTCAGCCTGTGGACCACCTGTGTACCACTCATCCGGCTTGTGGACCCAGATGAGTTTGACGTCCCTGGTTTATACGTTTGGAAATCTGGGCTGTAGCCGTTTTTATCATTGGAGTAGCTGGGCAGGTGTTTTCAACCAGAAAGAGAAGAAGGTGCCAGGTTTGTCATCTTAAGAGTGTACTTGAGAGGGACAAAAGAGGGCTTGCTCAGTAGCTAACATCAGGTAAAATTATTTGCAGAAAGGGAAAAATTTCCTCTCTAGGTGGAAAATGTCAAGGGGAAACACTAAGGCCATAATCATAGAGAAGTAGGGCTGGAAGAGACTTCCATAGGTCATCTAGCCAAATATCCTGCCTCAGGTAGGATCATTCCTATCCAAGGCAGGATCACCCCTATCCAAAATATACTTTTCTGTCTCTGTTTTCCTGGGACAACTAAGACCAGGGAACTTGGCATAGGCTGACCTCTCCAACCAAATCCATACAGCTCAAATCTAAGTTCCGTCTAATACCAGAAACAGTAGCATCTTCCTTAGCCCTTTGCTGAGCCACCAGAATATTAGACTTAAGTATTTAAAAGGAAGGAGCTGTGGAGGAAGAGAAGCCTAAAGTGTGTGAAATTCTTCTGTTTTGGAGTTTGACAAATAGATTGCAGTCTTGTTCTACTCTTTGGTTTATAGATGACTGAACAAAGAAGTCACTGGATGTGTCTACACATGCATTGATGCACTTTTATTAATGTGCATTACATTTAGTACCTCCAATATGAGATACTATGAGGTACTAAATAAATACGCATTAGGTTGTGCTAATGTGTAGTAGCACAAGTGCATGCTTTTTAGGTAATGCTTAATATGCAGTAGCCTATTCTACTGCACATTAGCATATTAGCATTGTTTTTTATGCACCACTTTAATGCACAGTAGAATATGCTACTGCACAGTAAAGTGCACATGTATTCATGCCCTGTATCCCCTCCAGCTTAAAAGAATACCAGCAAACATTGGGAGCCAAAGACTAGTGTGAGCTAGCAAACAGGACAGCTAACAGGGAAATTTGATTTGGAGTGTTTTGGTGATGGAGGAGCAGCTCCTGTTTACACAGGATCAATGAATTTGTGTATTTGGTGTTGTGTCTGCATGGTGGTAATATGTATTTTGTTGCCTCTGATGGTATAGAAATCACTGGGATTTTTTTATTTTTTTGAGAGTCTACTAGAAGCATTTGTTACTCAGGAGCTTTCCTGCCATGGCTTCTAGTTGGGCTTAATTAAGTGGCATGTGAGTGGGGTGGAAAAGAGTCTGCTATATCTGAGGTAAAAGTAAATCTCGGTTTGCTGTTGCTACAGAATTGGATAATCTGCATCCCAGAATAACAAGATAATGGGAGAAAACACAACATAAATTTATCCAAAAAAGATTATATCAGACCAATCTAATATCCTCCTATGAAGTATAACTTACTTCCTACACAAGGGCAATGATCTAATCTATCTAGACTTAAACACAGCCTTTCACATAGTGGAGATGTTATCACCCACTTATTTGACAGGACTGCTGCATGTAGCCAAATATAGCTTGGAGGCTCTGAGTATAAAATGTATAAAAACAGACTACACTGGACTTTAAAAACTGTTCATTCTCTTCCTCACATCCAATATCAAGGGACATGTTACATATGTTTCTTTTGCAACCATTGATCACTAGTCCTTACTCTTAATAAAACTGAGCTTCCTTTTCATTTCTACCTCAAATAATAGAAAACTGCTTCAAAGACCTTGGGTTCAGTTACAAGCAGAAACAAAATAAGGGTCCCTCTTCACTACTTTTGAGCCAGGTCTACTTTGTAGATTGTTCTGGACCCTTTGTTTTATCCTTGGAATTTGGGCTGCGAAACAGGTAAACTTTAATGTTTTCCTGATGAGAGCATAGAAAGTTGTATCATTTGCCTTCAGGGTTTCTGTGCGCTCACGGTATACATGTGTGTGTCTTGGACCATGCTTTCTAAACAAAATCAAGATGACAGAAGGAATCCAGTTGGAAGATCTTTCTACATTTTACAGATACCTTAGTTTTTTTATGTTGTTGGGTCTGAAAACCAGGTACAAGTCAAGCCATATTTATAGATGAGAGAAACATGATTGTTTTTTCTTGAGGCCTTCTAACCTCACCTCATGACAGATTTTAAATAAGTTGTAGTAGCCCATAAGTTAAAGTGAAGTGTTAGAAAAGTATAACTTGGTCTGTCTATTTATTTTAATGGCAAATTAATGGCCTTAGCAGGTATTGTTATTATAGTTTAGAAATACCCTGTATTATATGTCCATAAAAATGCATTAAAATAGGCATCTTTCCAATACTTTGTTTTAAATATTTCAGTAAAAAATATGAAAGTAGACTTATTCCTTATCTATTCAGAATGCAGGTTCTTACCTAATAAATAAGTTGGATGAGGCACATAGCTTTTAGTACTTTACACACCTTTTAAGCTGATTTTAGACATACTCCTATTATGTCTTTAGAACTTCATGACATGATCGTTGTTGAAGAATAATGAGCACCTTTCCTCCACAAGCTCTATGTGCTACTGTTAGAGAAATCGGACCTGTTCTTCAGCCAGTAACTAATTCTATGGTTTGACTGTATTTGTGACTTTTTATACCTATAGAGTCTAATCCTTATTTACTGCGTCACCCTTATGTATAGGACCATACAGGACAAATCCTACTAGATTTGCAAAGTGCCCTCAACTCTCACTGAATTCATTTTTGAAGGTTCTCAATACCTTTTCAGGTTTGGGGGGCCTGAAGATGCAGGAAATGCATGCAAAGCTTCTTGAAAAAGGCCTACCATTGAGGTATGTTATCATTTGCAGTTCTGAGAGGTGGACCTATTCAAGGAGCCTACAGGCTGCGACAACTTCATTTTCACTGGGGTTCTTCTGATGACCATGGCTCAGAGCACGTTGTGGATGGAGTGAAATATGCAGCAGAGGTAGGGCCCTTTCTAATTTTTCTCTGTTAACATATAATGCAAATTTAAGTGTGGTGTGGTGCAGCTGGGCAAACTGCCCAAGTTCATTTTTCAGGTTGGTTTATAAAATGTTGTGGAAAGGGCTGTGAATGATTTCCTCTCTGCTCCCCTGTGTGAAAATATCAACCATAGTCATTCTGAAAGTATCAACCATAGTCAACCTACTTCCTATTTGCTGCTTGAACCAATTAATTCAATTTCCCCAAATATCTCCTTGTTTCCATCAGTGAGAGTCCTTTTCTTTGACCTTTACTTGCAGAAATAAGACTTGGCCCTTGTCTTCTGTACAGAAGATAGAACACATGGAATGTATGATGTTTTTTAAATGCATTTGGAGATCTGAGGCTAGGCTGCTTTTATCCTTAACAGTGTCATGTAGCTTGGCACTGACAGAAAGCAGTATTCTATGTTGCATATTTAGAGAGAATGTTGGGCCTTTTTTCATTACTTTATGATAATGGTTACACTGACTAAATTGAATTAAACTATTGGAGAGTCTCCTGCAAGATTACAGTCTAAATGCAATAATACCGTGCTAATAGTCCATGTAAATATGTACAAATTCCACATATGTTCAGGTATTTCCCAGGGACACTTGTTGTATTAATCATTATACAGACAGGTCCTCTAGAACAGCATTTCTCAACCTGTAGGTCGCGACCCAAAAGTGGATCGCAAGAATATAATGAAAGGGTTGTGAAGAAACTTCAAAAATGGATTGATAAACTTAAAAAAATGGATTGTCCTTTAAAGGAGGAAAATGTGGGAAACAATGGGTTTCCCTTTGCAAGCTGGCAGAGTTCTAGCCTCCAAGGGACTGCTTGGGGCTGGGGGGAGTGAGAGGAGGGTGATCAGGCATGGGATGCCACATTCATGTGGCAGCCAGGCAGCATGGAGAGCAGCTCCAGGTAAGTCTATGGGGTGGGGGGAGGTGTGGGGCATAGACAAAGCATCGGCAGGATGGGGGCTCACAGGCAAGGTGTTGCAGGGGTACGGTGGAGGCACGTGCAGGCATGGGTCTGCAGCCTGGCCAGATTGACACAGGTAGGATCTGCCTCTGCTGCCCAGCAGGTAGGACCCAGTGTGGGAGGGAGAGCGGGGCAGCAGGCCTCAATGCTGTCATCGGCAGGACCCCGCACCAGCCGCCACACCCGCAAGGGGGGGGCAGAAAGCCTCAATGCTGTCATCGGCAGGACCCTGCACCAGCTGCACCACCAGCAGCATGAGGAGCAATGAATTGGGGAGGAGAGGGGGCCCATGCTGCCCTCACCTCCTCCCAGTGCCAGCCGCTCATATGCTGGGCTGTGGCTCTACCCTGCCTCCATGGACCACTGCCACACACCTCAGGACACAGCTCTATCCCAGAGAGGAGCTGGGGTGGCAGGCAGCACAGGTGGCCTGAGAGGAGTGGTGATGGCAGCTGGGCCATGGCAGCAGGGTAGAGTTGCAGCCCCGTGCCCAAGCAGCTGGTGGCAGGAGGAAGTGAGGGCAGCATGGCCTCCCTTCCTGCATCTGTTACCCCTCAAGCTGCTGATGGTGCAGCTGGCACAGGGGTCCCAGCAGTGGTGGCAGCAGCAATAAGTCTTGCCGCTTGGGATGAGGGGCAGCAGATTGGGAGTGACGGGCACTGGCAGGGCCAGGGAGCTGTTTTCTACTTAAACTATTTACTGGGTCGGGACTGGGCATCAATGTTTACAAGTGGGTCCTGGTACAAAAAAGGTTGAGAACTGCTGCTCTAGAAAAAAAAAAATGTTCTGAAAAATGCCCTGAGCAGAGATGAGAGAGAATTGTTATCTTGTTAATTCCCTGCCAGTGGGGATGGAGTAGAATCAGGAGCTGTAGCACAGTATTTTATAAGGCACTGCTTAATCAAGAGTCTTTGGTTGGAATTTCTCTAACCTGAAAATGTGTCTGAGGAAAAAAACATGTCAATAGGAAACTCCAATGTTACATGTATGAATATTACATGCATCTGTAATATTTTCTCTTTTGCATTATATGTCTAATTTTAAGCAAGTTTTCTATTATTCTCTGCATTGCTCCATGGTCAATTTTTTATGCTACATTTAAAAAGCAAATTGTTAACATATGACTTATGGGAAGCATAAGAAAAAACTGTAGCAGGGATTGGATGTACTTTATTCATATTTTCTGCATTCTGTGAGTGCACCCCACTGCACTCAGGTTTCAGTGGGGTGCATGAGAAATGCATGATAGTGTCATTGATAGCTTTATATTGCATAACAGAATTGATAACATCCAGCTTCTTTTTGTTCCCAGCTTCACATGGTGCACTGGAATCCAAAACATGGTAATTTTGCTCCAGCTTTGAAACAACGTGATGGAGTGGCTATAGTGGGTGTTTTTCTGAAAGTAAGTTTATTTTTGGTAGTACTGTACATATACTGTAGCCCATTTGGGGGAAAGCTGTTTCTGTTGTACAGCCTTGCATTGCTTTGCATTATAGGAAAACATTGCATAGGCTGAAGTTTTTATGAGACCTGGTCCCCTTATAATTTGTTGCATGCAGAGAGACTCTTAAAATGCACTCATTCCTGTGTGCCTCATCTCCAGCATTTAGTAACATGTGAACAAAGGTCACTTTAGAGCAGCATTTCTCAACCTGTGGATCACAACCCAAAAGTGGGTCTCAAGAAGATTTCAGAGGCTCATGAGCTGTGGGTTGAGAAATGCTGATCCTGGGAAAGCACAGAGACTGTGGCAGAACAGAGTGGCGGGGGCGAGCTGCAAGTCTGGGCTGGATGCTCACAGAAGCGGGGTGGCTTGGAGATGCTGCTCAGGGGGGCAGAATGGGCTGTGATCAGGCTGTGATCAGGCTGCCTGGCATGGTGGTGATATAAAAAAGAAGACTAGAGAGAGGTCACAACTTCCACTGTTTGTGCCTCACAGTTACATAGACACATTCATCCAGTTGACAAAAGACAGGGTTAACAAAATATAAAACAAACAGGAGAACAAGCAATACTGGTTGGTGAAATATAAAAGGCACAAAATACAGAATGTCAAATAACAAGGTATATAGGGCCTAGGTGCCTGGAGAGGGAGAAAAGGGGAAAACACAATGACCCCTTTCCACTGCAACAAGAATTTTACGCTGTTATATCATTCATCCCAAGCCACCCCAGTTGGGATTTGAACTCAGAGCTCTCACGTGGTAGGCAGAAACTCTAACACACAGCTACCAATGTTAGTACTATGCAAAATTGCTCGGGGCTCATGTTGAGCTTCCTAGCCTCTTTTTGGAGGAGCTAGAAGCAGGGCTGGGAACCTCTCAGGTCGCTGCTCAGATCCTTGCTGGAGCTGAGGAGCCTCTCCTACTGGCCGCATGCTGCGCTGCTGAGGGTCCAACTGCTGCCTGCAGGTCCCACTCCTTCAGGTGCTTCTGGGGCAACTGCTCCCACCCCACTGACCCTGCTCTTGCCAGCTCTTTTAAGCTCCTTCCTTGTGGTCCCTCGCTGGTCTCTCCTGAGTCAGCTGCACTGCCCCTTTTATCCCCCTCCAGGTGACCCAAGGGGCCAATCAGGGGACCTGCAGGGTGAGACTTTGGGGCCTGGTTGGTGAGGAAAGGGAATCCCAAGTCCTCCAATCACCTTTTACCCCTTCAAAACCCCTGGGCTAAGTCACTGCCAGCTAGCCCATCACACTGCCAAGCGTGCTGGGGAGCCCCCTACACTTCTGTGGGGGCCATCTGCCCCAGCATTGCAGCATTCATGAGCCACCTGCTACCTTGAGGTATATAGAAAAAACTTTTAAAACTGTGTCTATGTCCGAATTGCCGAATCGTTCTGAATCGATTCAGAGGGTTCCAGTTTGATTTGGAGAGATTAAAGGGTCCTCTGATTCAGTTCGGATTTGGAGATTTGGCCACCGAATCAGGGACTGAAGCTTTGCACAACCCTAGTGAGCAGCTATCTTATTTTTAGATGCTGTTGCTAAGGGCCTTCTTTTGTACTGTATACAGCTGTGATACCATCCTCCTTTGCTCTTCTCCTTTTTCACTTTCCTGAGATGATATCCTTTGCTAAGCTATCGACTTTCTGCTTGTATCTGCCCTGGACACCAGTACAACATATCGTTTTATTCTTTCATAAAATGAGGCTACTGTATAAGGGCCAAAGTATACACTTTGCAGGAA